TTTGGTTATTTATTCTTTGAAGAAGTGGAATACACTGAGTCATGAAACGTTGGAAAATCTTATTTTTCTACTTATTGGGATATTACTTAAACAACATGAAGTAATTTAGTATGTGATAAACTTAGTTTTATACCTATGCAAACTACAGTCTTACATTCATTTTATAGATTATCTATTTGCTATTTAAAAAACCAAAATGTGGATATTCATTTTTATATTGATTACTTGAATCCTCCCATTGATACAGGTACATCTAGTTGACAAGTCTCATATAGGATTCTGTTACTAATACTACTACTGTAGTGAACATAACACGAATGAGGATAATCGAATGTATTTAACACAAAATTAAAAGACTTGTTAATAAAATCTAACAATCATTTAATAAATGCTTAATTTACAAAATATCCATCAATTGTCTCAAAATGACTCTGACTTCATTGTTCTTGAATGTTCATACAAATTGCATTCTGTTTCCATTCTTTACTGTTTGATCCTCTTGTCTCTCTGTTCCCAGATATTCTGTTCACGATTAACGTCATATACTACTTATGTTGATATAAGTAGCACACACCACACTACTATTAGCTACTATTATCTCAGCGTATAAAACATTGAGTATATTTATAAATTATTAAGGATTTATATCACAATTGTATTGTTTGTTTCTAACTTTTAGTAATGTTAGTCATGTGGAAACTGGATTGATTTATTTCTTATTGGGACGAAAATCTATTCTTCTATTCAGATCAGAAAACATTAATTGAAGATGTTAATCTATGTTGAATATTGTATTGAGTACATAAAGTTATTGATGTACTTTAATTGGATTTTTATTTAGCAAAAGTTATTTAATTATCAACAAATACAACTTATATGAGAATTTATCTTCTTTCATGTCATTTTCATCAAATTAAACGAATGTCATTCAATTGGTTTATGCTAAAATATAAAAGTTGTTTATGGAATATGTTCATATTATGAAGGTAGGTGATTGAAATGAATAAGTTTGTGCAGTGTGCTCCAAATCAAAATTATTAAGTTCCCTCCTTTCAGAACTCTTTCAGGATGACAAGTCACTACTTGATTAACTAAGAAAATATTTATGAGATAAACTATTGATGGCAATGTACAAGTGTATGAGGTGAAATAAACTCATTTTTACAAATCGTTTAACCGCTAGAACAATTGAATCCTGATCGCCGTCAATTCTGGAAACGTTAATCTTGTTAAGTTACCTTTAAAAATTGTGTACATGTACCTAAACGTGCAAGATGCCAAACAACATTTTGAGTAAAAGAAAAGTCAATGTTACTTTTCTTTTATTTAGTAGTCGAATATTAAAATCACAAAGGAAATCGTTTGATAGTTTTTACACAGTTAAATTCACGAATCGATCTAAGCTAGATTACCATTAAAAACCTGAAAGCACAACACAATCACTTCGTACTAGTATGCCCATTCACGATCTTACATGTGTGACTTGAAGCCAAGACCTTCGATCTCGCATACAAACGCTTAATCTCTAGACCAGTGATTGATAGTTTAACATACAACAGTTTGGTGACACTGTTATCTGTTATACTGTAAATACAAGGTTAATTGAGAAATCCTAAGGTTTATCACAGATGGAAAGATAAAAACAAAAATTGATTGTTTATATTCATACACTCTAATGTTCATTCAAAAAAAATAAATCATCGTACAGGATTACTAAACGTTTTTCAATAGAAAGCCCCATCACTTAATTAATTTATCAAGTTGATGACACAATGTGACTTGAAATGATTGGTAATTAGTTGTTATGTTAATGAGGATGACAATATTAGAATGTAATCACATTAATTAACATGTTTGAGAGATTTGGGAAATTGATCGTATGCACATGAATCTGGGTGACATTGGCAGGTGGGTTATCAAAATTGTGAAATATCACTTATTAAGGTGCTTGGGAGATATTTCATTAAAATTAAAACACGAATTTCAGCAAAGGGATCTCTTTTCAACGAATTTATTATTAAGCTGTACAATCGTATATATATATGAAAATTTTGTAAAAGTACTAATTCCGTGAGGAAATGTGAACACAGTTAATACAAAGGTTATAATACTAGATTACGTAATATGAGTAATAACAATGGATTTGGTGAATATAATAAGATGATTAAAATGTTTTTGTTATAATAATTAAAGGTCATAGAGGTGTAGAAAATAAATACGGTGATATGATAAATATTTATGAATAAAACAATGAGAATATAAGACATAAGTAAAGGGGAGAATGCAGTAATAATAATAATAATAGTAGGATAATCAAAATAATTAAGGCCCAGGTAACGATAACGATAAGACGTACTTCTTTTGTACGCATAGTTCTGGTTTAAGCTCCTGGATGGTAAGAGCTACGGCTATTTTTAAAAGTTGGATGCGAAGAAATCTGGGTAGATTTGAACGAATCATATAAACAACCTTAAAGTCAATTTGTGGATCTGTAGAATGGTTATAGTCGATAAGGTGTTCAAGTATAGAACTCCTAATTGCTTTCCTTTCACCTTTGTAGAACCAAGCTGGGATATGTTCCCGTATCCGAGTTGAAAGCGAGCGCTGGCTACGGCCAATGTACCTTGCTCCACAAGAGCAGGTGAACTGGTAGATGCACATAGAGGTGACCAGACGCGGAAGCTTGTCTTTTATGGACACAGAAAATAAGTTGCTGCTCGTGAAGGTTATTCGCAATTTAGCTGCATTGAACGTTCTTCTAATAGTTGTTGTTAGACGATTTTTGATTACGTCTGATGCTCGATCACCTTTAAATTCCAGACTTATATAAAGGTTTTTCTTCGTAACGGAACAACTAGGTTTCTTGTCACAACTAATTTTATTCATATTCTTTTCTATGAACCGTTCTGGGTAACCATTTTCCGTCTGGGTTTTCTTGAGGAATTCGAGTTCTTCGTTAGTGCATTCCTTACTGCACATCTGATGTATTCGATAACATAAAGAGTGGATGAGGTTTCTCTTTCTACTTAACGGAACCCAGCTATAGAAGTTGGTGAGCTGTCCATTCCATGTTTGTTTTCTAAAGATGGATCTTTTGAAAGAACCATTACTCCTTCTCATCAGACGTACATCGAGAAAAGGAATTGATTGGTTCTGTTCCCTTTCTAACGTGAAGTCTATAGAAGAGTGGCATGAGTTAAAGGTGTTTAAAATATCCTCTAAATCAATATTATTGTCACAAACGATCAAAGTGTCGTCCATATATCTGACGTATAGGTGAAATTGACTGATCATTGAGCTTAGTTGGTTGTTTTCTGGTTTTGCCATGAAACAATTTGCTAAAATCGGACCCAATGGGGACCCCATTGCGATCCCATCCCTCTGTCTATATATTTCATTATTGAAACTAAACTGGACAAAATTTCCATATATATACGATTGTACAGCTTGATAATAAATTCGTTGAAAAGAGATCCCTTCGCTGAAATTCGTGTTTTAATTTTAATGTTTAGATATTTCATTCAACTAACACTGCATGTAAGTTATATAGTAGTTATCTGGAGTGGTTTGATAGAAGGTTGGGGTCAACCATAATAAATCATGACGATAACCTATGATATCATTGACTTTAAAATATACACAAGTCTGAAAATATCCTGCTTAGGTTCCATGAGATATATATTTTTATGCATTGCGTTCTCTGGCGAATCAGTTGTTGTGGACAATAGTTCTTTGAAGTTTAAAGAGAATATAAGACTTAATATCCCGAATTTCAGTCATCTGTAAAATCTTCAAACCAACGTATTGTTGGTGAGTGAATGAATTGAAAAAAATGTATATTTCAGTGTAGTTCTAATACATAATGCAGTGTTGTAGATACTACAACGAAGCACTAGCTGTTTGGGAGTGCAATGAATGTATTTTTCATATCACAAAAGGTTTTTTTTAGAAAAAGTCAATATTCTACTACCTATATTATTATTTTAAAATTAATAACACATACACAGGACATTATGTCCGGATAGAACTACATCATATTCCATCACAACTAATTTGGGTATAGTACCAGCCATAAAGGTAAATAATTACCAACTTTATCATAATCATATTTCATACATTTAAGGAGTGTTCACTGAAGTATATTTTAGTTCTTCTACAACGATTAGTTGTCGCAATACTTTCAAAGAAAATAGTTACTTTTTTGTCATTTAAAGACTTACTCATTTAGAAAAACTCTTTGGTTACGAACGGATATCGATGAACTATAATTCGGTAGCTCATATTTCTTATTACGGTCAACCGTCTGTACAAATTGGCAATTATTTAATATCACCGACAAATAAACATTTATAAAAATTATACTGAATAGTCTTATAAGCGGTATTAGCATTGACCGATCAGTGAGTAGCGGTCAGTATTATATTTTCCTAGCCATTTAGTGATGATCAGATTACATCAATTAAGTTATCATGTGGCCAACAGCTTAAGTGATTTAACGTCGAATACACTTTTTATGTTAGATAATTAGAAACAGTCTTCATGAAATCTTGGACCCAGATTTTGAGTTACTTGGTTCTCATCAGAAAGACATATTTTTTCTAATTGCCAGACAAACATGAAATCGATCATTACATTGTGGTTAATCAACTATAAATATTTCAATCTCACAAATGATCAGTCTTATCGCGAATAGCTCTATAATAATTTCTTAAACTGTAAAATCGGATAATAAAGGCTTGAATCCTCCACACCCCACAAAGATCATCGGTTTTTTTATTGATCTAAATAGTATTTATTAAAAACTTAATTTGAGAATAGTTTAGGTATAATTTATAAGGATTAAAGAATCTAATAATAACTTCATTAGTTAGTTGCTACGTAATCACAAGAAACTATCTTTTAGTTGAAATAAAAAAAATCCAAAATCATTATTATTTTCCATGTAAATTGTAGCGGTTACCGGTTATAAGCTTTCAAATTGACTATTATCATTGTTTATGTTAAAATGGAGATACTTTATTATTATTATTATTATTATTATTATTATTATTATTCAAAACAACGTAATTTTCTGTTGTTAATAGATTGTAACTACTATAACTTCTATATTTAGTTAAATTGAAGGAGTAATTGTGTTATATTTTATGAACTATGATTAATAACCAAACGTTTAATGAATCTCTTTAGAAACTCCTATCTATATCTTTCGATGTGAATATAAATATATTTAAACAAAATAAAAATGTTGAACAAAAACATACTACAGTTTAGGTTAAGTTTCGAATGAATAACTTATCCATTAAAGGTAAGTGTTAATCAGTTAGGAGGCTTAGACTATTTTGGTACATAATATTGAAGTTATATTTATTATCAGTAGAGAAGTTTGTGGAGATTTTAGTAATTCTATGGTTGATTTTATGAGTCAATTGAAGTTAGACCACCATGAAAAACCTGGAAGCACTGGATGGCCATCTCGTCATAGAGTGGAACTCCTCAGCAGTGCGCATCCACGATGCCGCCCTCCGCGAGATTCGAATCTAGGACCTATTGTGGTGTGTGCTACTTATATCAACATAAGTAGTATATGATGTTAGTTGTGAACAGAATATCTGGCAACAGAGAGACAAAAGGATCGAACAGTAAAGAATGGAAACAGAATGCAATTTGTATGAACATTCAAGAACAATGAAGTCAGAGTCATTTTGAGACAATTGATGGACATTTTGTAAATTAAGCATTTATTATATGATTGTTAGATTTTATTAACAAGTCCTGTAATTTTGTGACAAATAAATTCGATTGTCCCCACTGGTGTTCTTGTTCACTACATTTGGTGTCGCTGACAACTAGGAGGGGAGGGGTGCTGTTTTGCGAATGCCGTTGCGGGCCTGAAACTGAGGTGCTGGTTGAGGCAGTCTGGTGCGGGGAGGTGGCGTCTAGTGGAGTGTTCTGGTGGGGCGGCGTTGGCTGTAGAGGGTGTCGTCGACGGACAGGAGTAATAAATAAGAGTCCCACTTTAATAAAAATTAATCGAAGGTATTCGCCTTTGTCTTCGTCACTTTCCGGAATCATACACCACATCATATTATTGTTTGTACTAAAACCTTAACAGTTTATCAGTAAAGGGCTGTGGAGATTATTAAATTTTTGATTGAGGTCATGAACCGGTTGATGTTAGATCAACGGTCAAAACCTGAAAGCACTGGATGGCGTATTCGTCCTATTGTGGGACTCCTCAGGAGTGCGCACCCACGATCCTGTTCATGGGACCTGAAGGCAGTTCCTTCAGTCTCGCATGCACAGGCATAAACTCTAAACCACTGAGCCGGCATCAAACCGTGTTAATGTTTAGCCTCAACGAATCCCGTGGACATGATCGTGGATGTTCACTGCCGAGGAGTCCCACAATAGGACGAAACGGACGTCCAGCGCTTCCAGGTTTTCAATGTTGATCCAACATCAATCGGTTGATGATCTCAATCAAAAACCTATCAGTTTAACTACTTAAATAAATCAGATATTATTTCTCATGTAATCAGTATACCTTCATTTAAAATCTAATTTGGATGTTATTTTAGCTTCAAACTATAGAATAGTAACTATTACGCTTAAACTAAATGGAGTGAAAATAATTCGAATTTCATAGAATAGAATGTGAGAACATGACCTATATTTTACTGATCTGTGAAGCATACAAAACCATAGAGAAGGAAATTACCTCATACAACCGATAAAAGTTAATTTTCAATTCATGCATACAAATTGTTTGATAATATTTGTGAATGTTACAAGACAATTAATATGTTTAAATATTAAGGTTGAAGATATATCTTGGCAATTTTCGAGAATAAACCAAATATTGAACTTAACACTTATACTGTGCATTGAATCAGCTAAATTTCAATCATGAATTTGTAATTTAGTCAAAATGGATTTTATCTAAAGTCATTTATTTGAATGTTAACTTTATAAATATTTTGTCACGTACACTTTGATATAGGGATGTGTCAGTGAAGTAAATGAAATTTTCTAATTTTACTTACTTACGTACTTCTGTCACTCCTTGTGGAGGAGCATAAGCCGCCCACTAGCACTCTCCATCCAACCTTGTCCTGGGCAATCCTTTCCAACTCTTTCCAGTTGTTATTCATCCTTTCCATATCTGCTTCTATTTCCCGACGTCATGTGTTCCTTGGCCTTCCTCTTTTCCGCTTCCATTCAGCATTCCAAGTTGGGGCTTGCCTCGTGATCCAGTTCGGTGATTTGCGTAATGTATGTCCTATCCATTTCCATCGTCTTTTCCTAATTTCCACTTCAGCTGGAAGCTGGTTTGTTCTCTCCCACAAAAGGCTGTTGATGATATCTGGCCAATGAATGTTGAGTATCTTGAGTAGACAATAGTGAATTGTATTACAGTGTGCCATTTGTAATGGAAAAAAAGTGGAATAAATTTTAGTTAAAGTCATGTGGCATACATTTGTGTATTTCTGAATTATGATCGATAGTTAATTAAGGATGTTTTACTGTAAATGGCCATGAAAGCAGAGATACTCAAGTATGAGAACCATTATAAATCAGTTAACGACTAAGCATAGCAATAACAAGCATAATTTAATTACTGGTTCATTCTTTACGTTGTACATTAGTATTATTTGTAATCATCATTATTTGTGTATGTTACGCGTGCGAAACTTCTTACTTCGATAATCAAATTACTTACATTTCATATCTATGTCATCAAAGAATTTAACTGAATGTTTTCATCACTAAGTATGAAATGCCCTGGGTGAGGATACTGAGATATCCGTTGACATTTCTTGTTCATCTTCTCACTCCAAGTTTCAAAAAGACATTGTTTGAAATATTATCTAAAGAGACAAAGTACCTCCAAGAAAGTCGAACATTTTTTGTTGGAGGAACGTTACAAATGATCATGACAAAACCTGAATGGATATTCTGAAACAGACCAAAGTTGGCTCAGACAACATTTATACCACTGGAAATCTGTAGTCACGCATAACATGGATTTGAAATCGAGCATTCTTAAACATATTGAGAATAATAACATATCCTACATGAAATAAACAATCCATCAGATAGAAAAGCAGGTGAAAAATAACTAGGTGACCACTAATGACATTCAGTCTTGTAGTCTAGCTGTTCACCACAGGATAGTTCGTGGAAGAATGTTTTATAGTTGGAAGATCAGGTGTTCATCAAATTCGTATAACGAACAACAGAAATTTCGTCCCCAAATTAGCTGTGATTTGCAGTCGAAGGTAGCAACAAATATCAAAAATGCCATTCAATCTAGGTTATAGCACATGAAGAGTATAGAGATGGAAAATTAAAGTTTGGAAACTAGAAAAAGTTTGCCGAGCTCACTGAATTGTTAAGTCCAGCTAGATGAAACGAGAAATTATCCTCTTCTGTTTATTGCTTGTCAGGTAAGGAAACTGTATATCATTATAATTGGACATCAAGTATATACGAACAATACTTGTTAAATCATCGACCGGAACCCACCAATTGCTAAGTCAGTTTTTCTTGTAAATGTTTTGCAACTAGCCGAATTCATCGTCATCCAACTCAACAAACTTGACCCTTATATTCATAAGAAAGTAACAAGTATTCTGACAAAAGATACTTGTCTAACCAGTAAACAACTGATGGTTCTTTATGTCAGTTAAGAGGGTTAGTGTTGCAGAATGTTATTGCCTTATCTTTGAATCCTCACATTCATCGGAAAAGGGAAAGACCAGAATATAAATTGCGTCGGCAATTAGAGGCAGACGTCGAAAGAATGAGCGGCACTTGGGAGTAAGTGGAAAGAAGAGTCCAGGACAGAGTAGGTTGGAGATTCTTGGTCAATGCCATATCCTCCATCAGACTGAACAGGTGTAAGTGAGTGAGTAAGTACGCTTACAAGTGCTATGGAAATTTTATTCTCAAATTACAATTTTCTCATACGTTGAACTAATTGGATTATAGCTATTCAAAATAATAATTTAATAGATCAGTTGCGCACCATTTATCAGGAGGATTATTACTCACTATTTCAACAGAACAAATGTCGAGGAAGCAATCACTTCGGATCTATTTTATGGATCATTGATGCATCCATTAGAATTGTATTATTATGAAAACTTAGTTTAGTATACTTCCATATTCCTCATATTGTAAGCTTCCGTTTAACTGTTTTATGATCACAGAACATTATACAATTGCCTAGCTATCGCTAAACAATTATTCATCGTTTCCTATGTTCTCTGATACTTTCGGTTCATCTATGAATAAATTATGGTTTCCCATTCACGTCGTGTTGTGTGATACAATAATAATTGCATATAAACTCACGCTTTCCTGAAGATAATGAAAGAAGCTCATCTGTCACAATGTTCTTTGATTAAAGTGTGAGTGAAAAAAGGAATACTTGAGATTGAGTTCCGCATAAATTCATTCAAATAATAATAAACTGTATTATTCGCAAAGAAACTAGTTGAATAATGGATGCAATCAATGGAATTCTTGTACAGAAAATATGAGCCTTAAAATGGCATAATGATCCAATTACCTATTGAATGAAAAAAGTAGCCAGCCTCTACGAGTTAACAGAACAGATTAGAGATCAACTGTATTTGACTAACATATTATATCTACGAGACAATTCGATATCAAATAAGCGTCTACATCCCAAATGTAGTTTGCACTGATTTAACTTAATAAGAACTGTATACACTGTTTTGTAATTGTAGTATTCTTTTGTTTATAGAACTACTTAGAATTAATAATAATAAAAACAAAGTGATCCTTTATCAAAATGATTTGATTTATTGAAAATGAAAATAATTGGGTAAAAATTCTGGTTCACTGATTAGTGACATTGAAATATTAACCACATTTATAAAGGAGTATTGCCACATCTTTTATATAGAAATAAATGAAACAGTTTAATTCATGTGTTACATAACTGAAAATAAAGAAAAACAATAGACATCAGTATAGGGGTTGTGGAGATTATCAAATTTTTGATTGAGATCATGAACCGAATGATGTTAGACCAACACTGAAAACCTGGGAGCACTGGACGGCTGCTTCGTCCTATCGTGGGACTCCTCAGCAGTGCGCATCCACGGTCCCGCTCGCGGGATTCGAACCCAGGTCCCTCAGTCTCACGCGCTAACGCTTAAACTAATGGATCACTGCGCCGGCATCTAATGGTGTTAATGTCTAACCTCAAACATTCCACGAAATTGCGCGACCATCTTCCATTATACTGAGGTAGATACCTGTCTCTAAAAACAATAGATTACATTATAAGCAAAGATGGATAGTGGCTAGCAGTGGAATCCAGGACGCGCGTTTCGTCCTGTTTGGGACTCGTCAGCTGGATGTACCTGCATCTCAGAGTTGATGTTCACTCTGGGACTCGAACTCAGTACCGTTCGCTTCAAACGCCATCGCGTTATCCACTTAGCTACTGAGTCCTGATAGCCACTTGCTTGTGCAATGGGTTGAAGTTGAATTCACTTGATATTGACGAGTCCCAAACAGGACGAAACGCGCGTCCTGGATTCCACTGCTAGCCACTATCCATCTTTGCTTATAATGCTTGTAAATTTAGGCAATATCGAGGCATACGCACAGTATGCACATATGCCAATAAGAGACTGATCAATTTCAGTCCAAAAACATCAATGGGAAGATTCAAGTAAAACAATATCAAGTGAATAGATTACATGTTTTGAATTCTATTTGTATTAACTTCAGATTATTTGTTATTGTTCATATTACTAACTTGTTAATCAGTAATAATATTTAATCAATCCACAATGATTTGCTAGAATTTCATACTTTCTAAATGAACAACTGTATATGTGATATGTAAGATCAAATGATCAAGGTTTAACATTTCATCATTTGAAAATCTTAAATAGAGCCATTCAACATTTCAATGTATATATACATCATAAAAAAATAATGAAAGTTATTAAAATACTATTATTGTACATACCTTCCAAAGTGTTTACCTACAATACAATGCCAAGTTGGATGATAATATTTATCAAATTCCATTTTAATATAAGCTGCAATATCTTTTTCAACAGTGTATTTCTCTATTGCAGTAACAGTTGTTTCAACAGCTTTTTGTTGTATATCTTCATGCATATCAGCGCTTATAATCGTAGCTGTTAATCTTTCCATGATGATAGAATGAAGAATATACAAATTGTGCTCTTAAATAAAATGAACAGAGTTTGGAAACTTATATATTTATATTATTAACAAGTGAAAATTAAATGACCTTAAACTATCAATAGACTTTCATTTTAGTAACCTACCTTCAAACATTTACATGAATATATTAGACACTTATGCAAAGAGAAAAGATTGGCTGAACATGGAATAGAATTAAATAACATGATGGAATCATTAAATTAATAAGGAAATGATAAAGAATTACTTTTCCTAGGATTTATTCAAATTCATTAAGGTATGTATTACTCAATATATGTGCAAAGGCTCCATATGTCGATTAAGATTATGAACCGATGATGATCACAACTAAAATCAGTTACATGTTCTGGTTTATGTATTATGATTTTGGGATGAAATTTTTTGAATTTTATCAAATAATTCAACGCGAGACTATTGAACAGTTACAACTTACGTATTGAGTGTAATAAGTCAAAATAGTTTCCTTTATAGGACAGATTATGAGTGGATTAACTGTGGATTTTACTTGATAGTGAAATGTAGATGGAATGGAGAGGAAATTCGAATAAATCGGTATAGATCATTAAAGCGATGAAAGCTGACATGATTTCATGTCACTGTTTTTATATCAGTTCAGTAGGAGCTTCCTTCAATAATAAAAATGTAAACTTACAGTGTGGCAGCTATATTCCTACTTCTTACATTTCACTGATCACCAATGCCATATGTCAGACACCTCTTATTGCTGATCAAATTCCATTGATCAGTCTGTAATGGAAAGGTTCCTGATTAAGAAACAGGATGATACAGGATCAAATCTGTCAGGAAATATCATTTCCTTTATGACTGCAGTTACATCTTACTGACGTGTGTCAAATTGTGCAAAACCTAGATCCAGAAATTCTTGTCAGCTACGTCCAACCACTACCTTACAACACAATAGATCTCCTAGTTTTGTGCACTTAGGATCATTTTGCGAAGCTATATAAGAACCTTCATGATTCACCACACAAAGGAAGATGCCAGGTAACTGAATTGTTAATTGACTGAGTTTGGGAATGTGGAGCATCGTCCCAACATGAAGGTCGAACATTCTGTGTCTGAGAGTGAGGAATCGTAGGTACCCATTGAAACGACTTTTTATTGCTATGAAATATCCTTCAAGTTTCACACTTCTGTTAAAAGTTCTCAGCTGATGTTAGTTCGTTAGTAGATCTGTTTGCGAATCAGAATTACCACAACCAATACAACATGTAAATAATCCCTGTTAGCTTCAAGGACGAAGGAAATGTCCACATTTTCCTAGCTCACACCGTTTCTCTAAAAAATTCAGTTCATAATGCAAACTATCTTCAAACTGAACACCCTCATATTTTCATTGTATACATTTTACTTGAGTGTAATTGGAGACGAATTGTTTGAAATTCGACTCTCATTGGAAAAAAAAATGGCACTGATACTGGTTATAATGAATGAAAATGTTTTTGAAATGTTTACCCGGAGAAAACTGTTCAGAATATATCGAAGAACAATCTCCACAAAAATTGCAGTCTGTGTCGCTACTTGAAACGAAGTGGAACACATTTGAGCAAATTGTAAACAGATTTTTAATAATTCAGACCGCGTAAAAATGTCAAATCGGATTAAACTGTAAGTCAGGGATTCTGCAAATACACGGTTATATGAAGCAATTGATTGAATGATATTAATAATAATATCTTGGGAGCGGGAGTGATTTCAATCAATATGCGATGCTTTATTGGTTGTTACGAAGGTGAAGAATGTATTTTCCATTTTCGTCTTCCAGTTGAATATGACGACTAAGATTGGAAAGATGGGACTGTATATCCATTTTGCACGAAACAGACATTAAATTGAATGTTACTCAGTGACCAATTACTGTAGATATCTTAGTCTTACAGTAAATCACTCCTGAACTACGTTGCCAAATAATATCTCCGACTTCTCAACAAGTGACAGGAGTTCCAGTCATCTCAGTATCATGTGTTCCGTCACCATTGTAGAAACGCTACAGCGATATATCCTAAATAGCACGAAACAAGTGTCCGAGGCTCATTACCATTCCACCTCACACATTTGAAGTTGTGATTGTCGAATGTTAATAAGTAATGAAGTGAACGTCTTTATTGTTCGTTGAGTTATTCTTCCGAATTCACAAGAGAGTGAATTTCTGTAATTTCATTTTTATTTGTGTTACTTGTATGAATTTTATTATGATGACATACCTTTTAAGATATTGTCTCTTAAATTTTATTCAGTGTTGGCCTATACAACAAAATCAATGTAATTGATTTCAGAATCAAATTTGTGTTGTTCATTTTCTAAGTATGAAGTGAACGCGCGACTTACTGACATAGACAATGCTCCTTATCTCTACTCCATCTGATTACACTTGAGCTTATGCAGATAAGTTAACACAAATGTACATGTGTGTGAATGCGGATTTCTTTGTTGATTAACAGAAGGGTCACTTAAGGCCACATCATTACTAACCATTATATATTACTAATATTTTAATGTAAAACAAATTTATGCGTCTTATGAAATCAAGTAAAGATGATTAAAAATCGTGTCAGAATGCACAATTATACATTTTAGTAAGAGACATGTCTGGACTTCGCTAATCGACCAATGTTCATTCTTATAATAGATACTGTGGAGGCCCGTTATTTTGTCGTCGTTTAGATCGGACGATGTTGTCGAAAGGGCTCCCCACTTTAGTGGCCCGAGGATCTGACTCCATTTAGAACGTATAAATGTTTGTTATCGCCTATCCTCGTATATAATCATCGACTTAAATCGCGTTAGTCAATAACGGAATTAAATAAGTCGAATAACGAGAATGGACTTGTGAATACATATATTTTGTATGTAAAGCGAATGGAATAGACAGAAGAGAAACGACTCAGTGTGGAGATGGTGGGTAAGCTAACTCCCATTTATTCAAGCGTTAATCAATACGTATAGTTACACAAAAGTAAGTTACAGACATGTGATGAGTAACGAGATAAGAAACGTACACACACCTACGCGCTCATATGAAAACAGTCAAGGTTGATAAGCGAATAAATAACAAGGTCAGAATGTGACTCAAGTAGAATGAATGAAGTGGTCTGTCCGAAACCTAGAATAAGGTATATGGGCTTAACATAATAACTGACACTACAATACACTAATTAGAGGTATTAATAATCAGTATACAAAGCGTTCATATATCGTTAACGTTTCTTGATTGCATGAACAAATTATGATTATTTAGTGATTTCTAAGATAATGTTTTACTTCTGAATTAATCTGTGTATGGAATGTAGTTATGAAAATGTTTTATTTAGCTAGCGTTTACTGACCAATTATTGAAAATAAAAATAGTGATTGAAATAACAAGTGAATTTGTTTCGACAGAGCGATACATTTGACAGTTATTGATAAAATAATTAGTCCCATTGATAAATTTCGTTAATGCGATGAGAAAACGAAGGTTATCAAAATTATGTGATATATTTGAGCAATGCATTCCGAACAAGGTTTATTGAAGCCTTGGCTATACGGAAACTGAAACCCTCTTCATGTATTTGTTATAACTTGTCAGTTGAATGCTGATTGTCTTGGTTCTTTTAATGCTACTTCTTTTATCCCATCGCCACTGATATGTCTTGTCGTTCGAATGCTACTTGTTATATCTAGTCGAAACGAGGGACCTCTGCAATTCCCACGACGCGAAAGTAAGAACACAAAGACTGATATAACTGAAGATTTATTAACCCCATAACACGATGACGACGACGATTCTAGTCGAAAATACACTCATTTATATATTGATTGTACACCCATTTTGATTAATAATTAGGATGACACCACATATATGAAGAATACTTTGAGTCATAACAAGTCACATACTGAGCATAGTTCATGACAATGGAATACAAGAATATCGTATATCATACAAGAAAACAAATACTACATTGAGTAATCATTACATTGAATCAGTTTGATGATTTAAGGAATGTGACATATACTTACAATAAGTTACTCAAGGTAATCAAACTAACCTCTTTGTGTATGGGAGTTAAGTCATAATCAGCCTATTGGAACTATTATGAAAAACTTCATTACCTTGGTGTTATTTTTTTAGATATTCCATCAGGTTATGTACTGATATTTCACAATCTTCAATGATCGAACTTTACGCAATCCAGTCTGCTGATCTTGAATTTGGACGTCTATTGAATTTTTCAATCGGTTCAGCAACACAGATGGTTTTGACCTGTATTAGTTAACCGAAGTTAGTACTTCTTCGATACCTTTCCAGTTGCCACCCATAGTAATTTATTCTTCCTTCAGTAGGTCCTGTGAGGCTTGGAACTTGTTGTTGAAAGTTATCTTGAATTCGTTGAGTTTGTTAATATGTCGAAGGAAGGCTGTACTGAACCTCTGTAATGCTGTCTGTCTAGTTTTCCAATGATTCTTCAGCTTCATTTTCGTCTTGGCCACAACCAGATTGTGATCTAAAGCTGTGTCAGCTCCTCCTGATTCTCACGTCTTCCATCGATCTTGTGATGTTTTTAGTGATGTAAATATGATCTATCAAGTTATCTGTGGTATAGTCCAGTGAGATTCATGTAGCTTTGTATGTGCATTTGTGTGGGAATATTGTGCTACCTATAACTAGTTTACTGAATGTACGTAGATTTGCAAATCTCCCCCTTTTTGTGTCTTTCTCCCAGTCCATGTCATCCATTGGTAGTTGATACTCGGTGTTGTCCATTCCGGCTTTGATGTTTAGATATCCTATGAGGATTTTTAGGCCGTTTCCTAGGCACTTCGCTATGGTCAGTTGCAGCCTCTCATAAAACTCATATTTAACGTTGTCATTGCTATCATGGATACATGTAAAACATTGGGAAACATTCATTGTAATTCCCTCGTTCTCTTTTTGAAGAATGCTTTGGTGATCCTGAGTCCACGAG